TGGCGTGGACCCCGCCCCCAACCCCAGCCCTGGCCGGCCCGGCCACGGCCCCAGCCCTGTCCCTGGGTTCAGCCCAAGGTTCGGGGGTGGGGGGGGATTGGGTGCCTGGGGGAGGTCCCGCCTTCAGGGTCGGCGGCGCCGGCCGTGGGGCCTTCACAATACTGAGGAATACCATAGTGGATATGAAGAAACACGATGGGAACACGGTCGGATAACTGCATTGGAAATCCAATACAAAACAATATTTTCCTACCAGTTGCGCGGACTTCGTGCTTTAGTCAATTCGCATGAGGCTGGGCGCGCAAATGACTACACACAGATGTTTTTTTGTATTATTACGTGTGTGTGCATACACACACATATATATATATTCACGTATGTGTATAGGCATAACTCTCTGTCATATGTCGGGCAGAAAAACGGAAGTGGGCAGAAGATGATCGAACTTACGTCGTCTGCTGTTACACAGCCAACGCGGATGTAGCATGGCCCATGGATCACGCATTGGAAACATAACGCGGAAACGATATTTACGTGCTAAAGACAATGCCAACGACTATGCCGGTAGACATACGTTTTCGTATTTACACTCCTTCTCAACCGGAACCGTTCTTCTCAATCCTTCCGGACCCGACCTGAGCATCGATCACAAACATTCCCGTCGCGACGTATGACGGTAAAAGCAGCAGCATCAGCAGCTTGCAGCGACAGCAAGGACAGGAAGAACGACAGGGCAGCAGCAGCGGCAACAGGCCGCGGAGTTGCAAGAGGCTGCCGGGGGCGGGGGCACGGAACGAGAGGCGCGGCGCAACGAAGAGGAAACGAGGAGCCAACATAAAAAGGTTGGGAACGATATGTGGGAGCACGCCACCCGGCAATCGCGCCAAGAACTGGACGGACATTGGAAGAACATGCGGGTATTGAATGCTCGTTGCACATCTGGTCGCCACTGCTTGAGCAACGCATATAACCAGAACGTGACCCATGCTGGACTGGAACACATGTCAAGCAACCGGCGCGGCATTGTGACACGCAATTTCGATTGAAGACCGACTTTACCATGAGACCATCCGGATAAGGTGCCGACAGGGAATGAGCATAAATGTCATCCTTCTCTTAAACGCAAGCGGCAACTTAACAATCTACTCTCGAACGTTTTTTCCTTCGCCGTTCTTCACTATTCCCTGTAAACTTCTGACTACATTGTGCTGCGATCCGTGGACGGAACCGTCCATTATCCTGGGCACCCCGTCATCGCGGAAATTCAATGTCAAAGGCCCTGCGTAAAACCATCCATCCACTGCGTTTCGATTTACAAATCGACTCCTGGCCGGGGCGTCACCGCCGTCCGCAACACAAACTGCTGTTCGACTCTTGCCGCTCCCCCGTGTTGGACTACAAGCGGGTGGCGGGGAGCAATGAGATCAAGTCAAGTCCGGCTTGCGGCGACAGCGGCAATCCGCGCGCTTCTCGGGAAGGCGCTGAGCTCTTTGGCCTCCCGGGATGCGTCTGGCCTCACGCATTCTTCCCATGGCTTCGAAAGCCCGGCGGAGGTTTTGGCGGGGGTTCATCGGCAACCCCCTTTCCTATGTTTAGATACCGCGGGGGTGAAGGCTTGCCGTGTACACACGTAATACACTGACAGAGTATTGTATTTTCGGACGGGCGCATCGGAACCTGCCCATGGGAAAATCATTGCCGCCAGTCCTCCTTTCACCTGTAATGTTGCTGCTCTTCCCCATCCTTCCCCTTTTGTTCCTTCTTCTGCTGGACGCCCTCGTTTGCTCGCCGACCAGGCTTGTCCAAAACACGTTCTTCACTTCATGAGCCACCGCGCCTTCGCAACGTTGTGGCGTCTTAAAATGCTTGTCCATTGCCTGGTCGGGATTCTGTACTGTCTTATGAAGCCGAAGCTCGCCCCCCCTGGTTTTGCTTCATGGCGCCCTTTGCGGGCTCCCTGCGACTCTAAGCGAGCCAAAGACCGCCCTAAAACAACGACAGAGCGCCCTAAGACTTCCCGGAGACGGCCCAGCGAGTCCCCACAGGCTCCGATATTTCATCGATATGCCCCAGCAGGCCCCAACACGTCCCTAAGAGACGTTCAAAGAAGCCTCCAGCAATGCCCTCAAGCATTATCCCGGCGAAGGGCCCAATCATATGCAGTTGTGAGTATCGCCATTGTGGGCATCGCCTTCGGTGGATCTCCTTAAGGGGCCGCGAGGAGTTTAAAGATGTGCCGAAATGGGGCGGGGACGCATGCGGGCGCAACCATTGGGGCTTTCGGTGGCCATCCATATGGGGCTACGAGACGTGTGAGGCGTGTGCCGACATGGAGCAGGGCCACCATGTGAACGACGCCACTGGGGCCTCGGTGGAGCTCCCTGTGGGGGCACGAAACGCGTGAAGGGTATGCCGAAATGGGCGGTGGGGACGCATGCGAATGTCGCCACTGGGGCTCTCGGTGGAGCTCCGTATGGGGCCACAAAACACGCGAGGGGTGTGCCGAAATGGGCGGGGGGTGACGCATGCGAACGTCGCCACTGGAGCCTTCGGTGGAGCTCCCCATGGGACCACGACACGCTGTACTGGCGCGGACGCATGTGCTCACAACCATTGGTGCCTTCGGTGGAGCTCCGTATGAAGCCACGAAGCGCCGTACTGGGTGGCGCGGGACTCATGTGCCGGTGGGGCCACGAAACGCTGTACTGGGTGGCACGGGAAGCGTGTGCTCACATCCACTAGGGCCTTACGTGGAGCTCCCTACGGGGCCACGAAGCGCCGTACTGGGTGGCGCGGGGTACATGTGGTCACAACCGCTGGGCCCTTTGGTGGGGCTCCCTGTGTGGCCACGAAACGCCGAATTGGGTGGCGCGGGGCGCATGTGGTCACAACCACTGGGGCCTTTGGTGGAGGTACCCATGGGGCCACGAAGCGTCGTACCGGGTTACGCGGGACTCATGTAGTCACAATCAGTGGGGCCTTCGGTGGAGCTGTCCCTGAAACGCCGAATTGGGTGGCGCGGGGCGCATGTGGTCACAGACACTGGGGCCTTCGAAACAGCTTCCTATCGCTGGAGCCACGCATGGGGCGAAGAAGCGCCGTACTGGGTGGTGCGGGACGCATGTGGTCACAGCCACTGGGGCATTGGGGGGAACTCCCTATGGGGCGGCTGGACACGGTGGCGGGGCTTGCCACGGGCAGCCAGACACTCAAGACTGGTTCCTCTGCTGGTCCATGGAATGAGCTTCGCCGCCGCAGTGCACGACAATTCAGAACCTGCTATGCTTCGGTGACATTTCATGGGAGCCTCTCATGCCATCTTCCTGGCTCTTGCGAATCGAGGCTAAACGCCGACGCTAATCGACGCTGGTTCCACGCTGATCGAAGCGACATCGGCGCTTTCTCATCGACCATCAGGCGCTCGCGCACCCTAATGCACTCTAGAGACGGAATTGCCAGGATATGCGAGGCTTTCAGTGTTTGCTTCCGAATCATCTGCTGGTCAATGAACAAAGATTCGCCTTCGCAGTAGCACGACAATTCAGAACCTGGGCCATGCGATCACTGCCGCCACGGTCGGCTACACGCAACAGCGACCCTGGGCAAGAGTGACCTTTGGTGCGCGGCTTCAGGGGGCTGCGGGGGGTCAAGTCCAAGCGTGCAAGCCAGTGCTGGAGGGAAGCCCTGTGATCCCGCATCGGAGATACCTCCTGCGAACAGCCACTCTTACGCAAAGCCGGCACGGGCCAGCATGGAAGCGGGCCAGCCTCCGGCGCTGCCTGCAGCCTAATGCGGCCGGCAGCTGACGGTGTGGGGCAGCTGGCACCGCGCGCGTGCGGCGGCAAGCTCGATCCTCCCTGGAGAGCTGCGCGGGGGCGGCGTTGGAGGCGGCTACACCCGCAGCCAGAAGCGAGGGAGCGGGAACGTGGGGAGACGCTGCTGGCGCTGGCGTGGGGAGCGGGTGGCACAGAGGAGCAAGAGAGACGCATCTTCCGAATCCAAGCGATGGTATTTGCGGAGGCTTCCCTGGGGAGCTTGATTTCGGGTGAACGGATTTTGGACGTTGACGGCAAGATGTCACATCTGATGTCGAACAAGTTCCATGAGCGAGCAAGAGCTTATGGGGCACAAGAGTGTTCCGAGCAAGGTCTTCACAAGAGGTGAATCTGGGGATCAAGAGGCGGGAATCATCTTGGTCTGCGCCTGCCGTCCTTTGCCTGCTGGGTGCTCTGATTACCATTGCGAGACGGCGAACATAATAATTGAAGCAAATGGAAGCACACGATCTGCGCCTTCCACTGTGCGACGATGAGTGCAGTCAATGTAGCGCGGAAGAGCTGTGCACCCATCTCAACACCGGTGTTCAGATTGTATGCCCATGGGAACCACGCCCTTCTGCCGTCATGGCTCTGGAAGACATGCACATCACATTTAGATCTTCCGATGCACGGGCGTCGAACGCCCTCAAAAACGACGCCGTCGAGAACAGTGATGCTGCTGGTCCGAAGGTGGGCAGGGCTGAAGATAACGATCATGTGCTATCGCGAAAACGAGCCCCAGTCAGCAGGACAGGCAACGAGAAAATCGGGGGCCTGGAGGTTGGCACCCACACCAACACGAAGGGGCTTGCCTCCACCGTGGAGGACAACCCTGGATACTTTGGATGCTGGCGGCAGTCCCTGGGCCACCCCGGGAGCCCGAACATGGCCGACATCCTCGAGATCAGGATCCTCTTCCCTCGGGGGAGAGGCAATCGCCGACACTGGTTTAGCGGGCGAAGGACGGTATAACATAAACTCTTTCGCCGTCGGGGACACCTGCCCCAGGGCGGCTGGAAAGCTTATACCCTTACGGCGGCACCGTAGGGGCATCAACTTTCCAGCCGCCCATGGGGCAGGTGTCCCCGACGGCGAAAAAAGTTTATCTTATAGCGTCCTTCGCTCGCCGAAACTGGTGTGGGTGCCAACCTCCACGCCTCCGACCAAGGGCGGCGGAGGGGCAGAAGACGCGGCGGACGAGGCACCCCCGCACCCTCTAGGCAGGGCCGCGGAGGCCGCGCGCCGTGCGCGCCCGACGGCCCCCGCGCAGGGCCCGAGGCGGGGCGCGCGCGTCAGGCCCAGCCCCGCAGGAGCGCCACGGCGATGGCGCAGCGCGAGACGCCGACCAGCCGCTCGTCGCCGCTGACGGCCCCGCCGGCCTCCGCCGGGGGAACGCCCGCTGCCAGGCGCTCGGCGAACGCACAGGCCTGGGGGGAAGGGGAGCGGCTACGGCTAGTGTGGACCAGGCTGAGCGAAGAACGTCGGTGTCGATCTTGGTCGTCGCCCGTCTTGGTCATCGTCGATTCGTGGACCGTCCTCGCGAATCGACGACGGCTGGCGTGGACCATGACCGAGGTCGGCATCGACAAAGTCCCTCGACATCTTGGGTTCCATTCGTCGCGTTTCTTCCCTCGAGGGCCATCGGTCCGCAGTCCCACGAGTTGCGCTGCCTGGCAACTGCTGCCCTGAGCAACCCCCAGCGGGGCGCGCCCGCCGCCCGGCCAGGCGCCAGCCCGGGCTCGGCCTGGCCAGAGGCGTCCTCGGGCGGATGGCAATCCAGCTGTCTTCAGCATCAACGCTCACGGACGTGGTGGCGATGCTTGGAACTTGCGCCATGCTGGTTGATGCATCCCTCTCCTATGTGATGCTCAACCGTTTCCATTGTGCTGTGCAGTGCCATCTTCTTTGCCATACCGACAATGCAATCTCCAGCGACTTCGCATACGGTCTCATATGTGTGCAGGGCAATCCCGATGCTGTCCATATTTGAGCATTTCGACGTTGCGGCATCGCTTGGACATTACTTTATGCTTCCCTGTTCTAGTCTGTCTCACATTCGCTCTTTGCTCTCCTTCCCGATGTTCCCCCGTGCCCGTATCTATTGTATCTGAATTGGCCGCTCTGGGTACCGCAGGCTGACCCTATCTGATGTGAGCTTCGAAACTGGACAAACTTGATTACTCCACACCCTCCACATGGGGCGGTACCCGGGTCGAGCCGTGCGCGCCAGAACATGAGTGCATGCCACTTGTACCAACTCATTACCCACAAGACGGGGGGATGGGTGCACTTTTCAGTGTACGATTGGCGTCGGCTCGGGTCTGCGACCTCTCTCTCTTTTTCACTTTCTCGCTCTCTCTCTCTCTCTCTCTCTCTCTCTATATATATATAAACATCTCTCTCGAGCGGTCTCGAGAATCAGCCGACCTCCGCTTGCCGGGGCTGCAGATACGTGCGGGATGATTGGCTGTCCCCCTCCCCCCTCCCTCCTCCCTCCTCCCTCCTCCCTCCCTCCCTGCCCCGACCTCCGATCGGAGGGGTGGGGGGCCCGAGGGGGGGGGCCCGAGCCCGAGCTCCCAAGCGCACCCCAGGGGCCTCCGTGGCCTCCACATCTGAGCTCCGCGGCCCCTGGGATGCCAAATCTGCCGTCGGAGCTGGCTCAGGTCGGGGATCTTCTGACCCGGGTCAATCCAGACCCGGGTCAGTCAGCCCTTGCAGAATCCTGCAACCTCCTGCAGGATCCTGCACCCAAACCCAGGTCAATGCGAAGGATCCTGCAGGATCCTGCACCCAAACCCGGCTCAATGCGACCCTGGCCGTGCAGGATCCTGCAAGATCGGGCGCTCTGGCTGACCCCCGTTTGCATTGCCCCCCGTCTCAAGGCTCCCGATCAGGTTGGGAGCCAGTGCGCCGGGGAGTCCCCAAAGACGACCAAGGTGGCCTCAAGACCTTCCAGGGAGCCCCCAAGACGCCCCAACAGGACTCTGAGGCGACCCCCGAGAGGCCCCAAGAAGCAAGGATCGTCGCGCCCCCTGCGGGAAGCTTCGATGTTGGGTATATACGCATTATGTTTTACAGCGTCCAAGGCGGCTCAAGAGGCCCCCAAGATCGCTCCAAGACGGCCCGAGAAGCCCCTAAGAGGGTCTCAAGATGGCCGAAGAGGGTCCCGAGAAGGCCCAAGAGGCGTCACAGATGGCCCGAGAGAGTCCCAGCAGGGCCACACGAGAAGCAACTCGAGCTGACGCTCCGAGCCCTTCACCCCAAGAGGACCCCCGAGACCGCCGGCAGGCGCCCCAGAAACTCTCGAGGAGCCCGAAGCTGCCCCCAAGAGGCCCCCAGAAGAGGCCCCCGTCGGGTCCACAAGAGGCCCCCACAGGCCCCCCCCGTGGACTTTGTTCCTCTTCTGGGGGCCAGCGACGTGGCGTAAACCTCTTGGGTACATACACGTATCTCAGTCGTCATCCGGATCTGCCGGTGACGATATGGGTCTGCATCTATACATCGGTCCCACAATCATAGCACTACTCGGCATCGCTGTCTATCGCCCCCCCCAATGTGCATATGCCTGTGCGTGTGAATGTGTGCATGCATGCATGCATGTATGCACGCACGTACGTATGTATGCATGTATGTAGGCATGCATGCATGCATGCATGCATGCATGCATGCACATACATACTTACGTACACGTACGTACGTACGTATGTATGCATGCATGTATATATGTCTGTGTGTCTGTCTGTCTGCCTGTCTGTCTGTCTGTCTGTATGTATAGATGTATGTATGTATGCATGCATGTATGGGAATGTGCAGGTGTGTATATATGCATGCGTGTATAGATGCATGCATGCATGCTTGCACGCATATATGTATACATGTACGTATGTATACATGTTTGTATACACGCATGTATTTATGCATGCACCTACGTATGTATACATGTATGTATGCGTGCATGCACGCATGCATGTACGCACACACACATGTGTGCATGTATGTTGGTATGCATGTGTATATGTATGTGTGTATGCATGTATGCATGTTTGTACGTATGTATGCATGTATGTATGTACGTACGTACGTATGTATGTACGTATATATGTATGTATGTATGTATGTATGCATGCATGTATGTATGTATGTATGTATGTATGTATGTATGTATGTATGTATGCACGTAGGTATGCATGTATGTATGTATGCATGCAAGTATGCATGCATGCACGCATGCATGCATGCATGCATGTATGTATGTATGTATGTGTATGTATGTATGTATGTGCATGTATGTATGTATGTATGTATGTATGTATGTATGTATGTAGGTATGTATAAATGTATGTATGTATGTATGTATGTATGTATGCATGCATGTATGTATGTATGTATGTATGTATGTATGTATGTATGTGTGTGTATGTATGTATGTATGTATGTTTGTATGTATGTATATGTATGTATGCATGTATGCATGTATGCATGTATGCATGTATGCATGTATGCATGTATGCATGTATGCATGTATGCATGTATGCATGTATGTATGTATGTATGTATGTATGTATGTATGTATGTATGTATGTATGTATGTATGTATGTATGTATGTATGTATGTATGTATGTAGGTGCACACACATATATATACACACATGTAGGTCGCTCCAGTTTTCGATACAACCCTGCAGCGTGAATTCTCGAGTCTTAGCGGACCTGACCCTCCACACTGAGACGACGTTAGGCAGACGACACCCGTGCGCCACTGCAGATCGTCTGCCTCGTCCTCGAGCCGTCCTGGTACCACTCCCGCAGGCGCTCCGCCAGGCCCTCGGGCGGCTTCATGCCCAGGGAGTCCAGGTAGGCCACCTCGCCTGCCCCCGGAGCCACCGCCGCCACCGCCCAGTGCGTGCCCTGCGCCACGTTCATGGGGATGACCATGAGCTCCAGCTCGGGCACGCTCACCGAGGCGCGCCGCGCCCAACGCCTGCTGTGTTGTGAAGGGGCCCTGGGACACACAAATAAATACACACAAATACAAATATTCCCCATATTTTCCCACATTTTCTGGGTTTCTGTCTTCCCCACCACTTCCCATATTTTCCCATATCTTCCTGGGAATCGCCGATTAATTGTGTCTGTGTGTTTTTTCCCCTCCCGAGTGTTGGCCGACCCGAGGGCGCCCCGGAAAAAATCTGCCCGACCGGGGGGGGGCGAACCCCTGCGCGCATATCGAGAGGCCAGCGCGGGGGGGAACCGAAAGGGGGGGGGGACTGGCCCACGCCGTGGCACCTGTGGCCACGCTCGCACGACGTTGCTCCTCCAGGAGCTTCGGCGCAACCCTGCTGCAGCCGCCCCCCCGGTGTGTCGGCGCGGCGCGCTCCAGAGATGGTATCGGATTCTTCGGCGCGTCTCGCCGTCGTCGCTGGGTGGAAGTGTCCCTCGGCGGAGAGTCCGCCGGTGGAAGCAAGAGTGCGGCGCCAACACAGGTGGATCGGGGTTTCTGGGGTCGGCCACTGCGCAGGAGTCGGCGACACATCGCCTGCAGATCGCCGGCAGGCCTTCGATAGCAGAGCCTTCGATAGCAGGGCCAGCAGGCTCCCATCGGCGATCAATCAGCACTCGGGGGTTGATGCCCCCGCTCCTGAGCCCTGAGCCTACCCCCCGAACGTCGCGCCCGAGCAACACACAATCTGCTCCTGCTCCCCGCATCCTTGGGGGCAGGTCCTGGAACGAATGGCCGGAACCATGTGCCTGCAACCATAAGGGCGCTGAGATCGGTATAGGGTGCTGAGATCGATGCACTATCATCTGCTATGGTCGATTCAAAAAACTCGATACTACACGGCGCTGAGCTGCGTGCCTGTTGGCCTTCTGAAGAGGATCTCTTGATGCAGGCGACATCCCAAACCGCTGCCCGCGCCAGCCCACCCCCCCTGATCCTATCTCCCCTAACGCTGCCCCGGAGCGGAGCACGTTCCTGGTCTCCCCGCATCCTGGGAGGGCAAGTCCTGGAAACACCCCCCAGACCCCTGCGCGCGCCAGCCCCTTGGTTGTCGGGCCGTAGCTTGGGCTCTCCAGCGGCTGTTCGGGGACGACCTGGGCACCCCAGGCCGCTCTCGGCCCGAGGCTGGAACGCCGCCGAGAGAACCCACGAAAACGCCGGACAACCTCGAGCCTCGAATCCGACCCCCCCCCCCACCGGCCCCTCTCCCCCAGCGCTGCCTCACGCTCTTGGGCCCCTCGCTGGCCAGCTTCGGCCAGAAGTAGGAGCTCAGGTGCCACCGGCGGGGGCCGCCCGGGCGGGCCTGCAGCAGCGCCATGTAGGCGTTCACGACCTCGTCGTTGATCCAGCCCCGCGGGGCCAGCCCGACGAGTGCACGGCGGGTCAGAAGGCGACCCGCGTGCGCGCAGAGGAGCTCCTCTGGCCGAGTGGAATCCACAGGCGCCCCCCAGGGGGGGGGGCCCAGGGGGTGGGGGTGTTTTGTGGCCAGAGATGGCTGCAGGACAGCTCGATGGGAGGGCATGCTTTCCTTCGGCCCCTGCACTGTTCCTGTGCTTGGCTGGCCTGGCGTGCCGCAGTGGGCATCCCTGCCTCTCGGAGCTGCTCCCATGGGCCCTACGCGCTGGATCCATATTACGAAAATTCTCATACAGTCTTAACACTAGTCATATAATGACCACGCACGCAGCTGGCGCATCATCAAGCCAGGCACCAACGGGCAGCTAAAGCATGCAGCCGACACACACACACATCTAACTTTCAACTCAAATTCACTCTCCAAGCAATGCGCTCACTGAGAAACAATGTTCTTCCCCATATCCTGTGATGGGCTTATGACATTACTCAGACGCCTCCGGGCCTCCTCCCCGCACCTCACACCCTCCAAATCCACTTCCTCAGACTCACTCATACCCACACACACTCACATTCAGTCTCACTCATACTCACTCGCAATCGGACTCAGTCATCCTCAGACTCACTCATAGTCAGACTTCTTGGGCCACTGCTCATCGCAATATAGCAGGCGTGGTATGTGGGCACCCCAACCCCAATAGGGAGCCGCGGGTTGGGGACACTCCAGGATTCGCTCCCAGATTGCGGGGATTGCTCAAAAGGTTTACGTGCTTGTGTGCCCAACCGCCTGTGCTTCCACAGCAAAATGTGGAGATGTCTCATGCTGGGCGCTGGTTTCAATATTCGCAAGGGGGAGCCGCTTGGGGTGGGGACATCCAAAGATTCGCGTCCAGATTGTGGGGATGTCTCAAATGCTTCGCCTGTTTGGGTGCCCTCCATCCTGTGCTTTCGGTGCAGATTGTGAGGATATTTCAGGCGGGGCGCTATTTCCAGCGCCCCAAGGGGGAGCAGCCAGGGGGTATATCACAGGCCCGCTCGCGCCCAGCTTGCAATGATGTCTCAAGCGGTTTGCCTGTTTCGGACACCGCGCTCGTTTGTGTTCAGAGCAGATTGTGAGGATGTCTCAGGCGGGGTGCTTGTTCCTGCGCACCAAGGGGGGGCCGCCAGGGGGGTACATCACGGGCCTGTTCGCGCCAGATTGCGGGGATGTCGCAGGTGGTCTGCCCGTCCTGGACCCCAGACTCGTCTGCGTTCAGAGCAGATTGTGAGGATGTCTCAAGCGGGGCGCTGGTCCCGGTCTCCCTTAGGGCCCAGATTGTGGGGATGTGCTCAAGCGGTTTGCCTGCTTCGGAACCAAGACCCGTCAGAAAGAAGATGAGGACTAGGACAACGACGACAAGGACGACGACTACGAAGACGAATAAGCACAGTCACACTCAGATCATTCAGACCTCTTACACCCACACTCACACTCAGATGCTCTCAGACCTCACATTCACACTCATGCCCAGACCACTCACACTCAAGTACACTCAGACCTCTCACGCTCACACCCACACTCAGAATACTCACATTCACTGACGCTCATGCGCATAGAGTCACTCACACTCAGACTCACTCATATTCAGACTTATTATCACTCAGACTCACCTGCTCCCACTTCATCATGCCCAAGCCCGTTCATGCTTGGACTCCCACAGGCAGACACTCGCATCGGGAAAGGCGTGGGCAAACTGATGCACATATGGGGATCTCCGTGTCGAGCAACTCGTTGGCTCAAGACCGCACTCCCGTCGTCAATTTCCGTGACCTGGCCGTGTGCCCGACCGTGCTCGGCCGTGGTGCTTGCCCTGCACCGCTGCTAACTTACTTGGCTCGGCCGTGCTACCTGGCTGTCGCTGGACCTGGTGGTTTCAGTGCGTCGCCATCGATCTCCTTGGGCCAACCCTGCCCCCGACTGTCTCCGGCCCTCGCCTTTGCCCTGCGCCGCGGGCAGATCTCTTGGGTGGCCTTCAGACCGAGGCCCTGGGCATTGCCCCTCGACTTCTGGTGGCCCAGCTCCTGTGGCCTGCTCTCAGCCCGGCGCGTGCAGAGGGCGCAGGCCGCAGCCCTGCCCAGCTGCCGAGCCGCGCGCCGCGCGGCCCTGCGCAGGCGGCGCAGCCTCTGCAGCGGCTGGGCCTCCAGCCGGCGGCCGCGGCCCGGCCCGCGGCGTGCCTCGCTCGGAGCCGCGCGCGCGGCGCACCGGGCGCCCTCGAACACCTGCCGGTGTGCGAGCAGCGCAGCGGCTCGCAGCTGCCTGCCGCCGTGCACCGGCGGCCGCCGCGGCCGCGGAGCCGACCGCTCGGCCGCGGGCGGCGCGGCGGCCGGCGGCGGCACTCCGAGGCCGCGGCAGCCTTCCCCTGCCGCGGGCGGGGCGGGGGCCTCGTGGCGCGGCTCGTGCTCTCGCTCGCCCCGCGCCTGCGGCGGCTGCCTCCGGAGCCGCTCGGCGGCGGCCCACGCGCGCAGCGGCAGCCCCGCCGCTGCAGCGGCGGCGGGTCCCGCCGGCATCGGTCCCCCTCGGCCGTGGGCAGGGGCGCCGCTCGGGCCAAGCGCGGGAGGGGAGGTAGACGCGAGGAGAAGGAGATCTGCCGATACCGCTGCCCTTGCCTCGTCGCCACGGCTGGATTCGCCTCAAACTCCTGCTCAGAACGCGCTTCTGCACAGGTCTGGGGAGCACCAGAGTTAGTACCTCTTCGTTGCCCGAAGACGGGGGGAATGGTTGGCCAGAAGGTCAGGCATGCCCTGCCCAGACGGGCTGTCCACTATTCTTTCTCTGGCCCCCTCTGAGCAGGGGTGGGGAGGAAGCGGGGGGAAGGGGGCGAGGGAGAGAGGGAGGGAGAGCAAACGAGATGGAACAATAAGGCAGAGGGAAGGAGGGGGGGGAGAAGATTTGCAAGGTGGTGGAAGGAAAAGATTGGCTCCGTACCCGCGTCGGAGCTGACGGTTTCCTGGCTCCGTGCCGGGTCCACGCCGTCCCCTCTGGGGGTTCCCTGGTGGACCTTCTGGTCTCCGACCCGTGGGGCCGTCGCCTCCCGCACACGCTTTTCTAGATCTCCTCTCGGCTGCGACGCCAGCCCCGTCGCCACGACCCAGGAGCCCTTCGTGCGCCGTGTCCTGTCACTCACAGAAGTCTACTTCTGCGGCCAAGGGCCTCCTCCGTAGGCGGGCGTGCAGCCTTTGTTTCGCAGCGAGCGCATGTCGTGCTGAATGCTGCTCACGGCTGTCTCTACACCGTCAACCCTGTCGGGCAGAGGCGCACACTTCATCTGCATCTTGTCGAACTCCGTGTAGAAACTCTGGCGAATGGACACCTCCATTTCGGCTGTGTCGCACTTCTGTATCCGAGCGCAGATTAGGCCAGCAAGCTGCTTCTCGTCCATCCTGTGATGTTCGAACGTGGATCTGACCGAGCAGAAGGGACATTCACACGACCTACATTTGACACACCTCTGCTCAGATCTTGGACGGAATGGGTAATCGCCGCCTGCAACGTGTAGGATCCGCTTGACTCGCGGATGCTATGATGTGGGCCAGGCATTCCGGGCAAACCCGACAGGTCAAATGACGGCAAACTGCAGAAATGATTACCCATCGCGCACCTGCGCCGACTAAGCGGCAAGACAAAGCCGTTCCCCGCTTGAAGAAAGATGTACCGCGAAAGGATCCAGCTACAACTATTTAAGGCCAACTGACTACGGATGCGTGTGGAGGTGGGGCCAATCGAAATCGTACGCCTGGGGATCAACCTAACTGGCGGACAACTTTCCAGCAAGCAGAGTTCTTCATATGCTGCTTGTTGGTCGCTGGCGCTCACTGTGCTGAGGGCGTGCGAAAGCATACCGACTGGTATTTTGATCTCTCCTGCGAATCCTGGCCACAGCGTCGTGAACGGGCTGCACATGCACAATCGGCACACCCCTTGCCATTCGAAGGACTTCAGGCCGTGCCTCATGTTTAGGCTCGCAGATCTGCGGAGCGAGACACCCGTGCCCTGGCGTCGTAAGGCGAGCAGGCCAACCGATCAACATCGGAATCACGCGAGGGGAGGCTCCACCAGGCAGCAGCAGCGCAGACGGCCCACGGGCCACGGAGCCTCAGGAACGCCCAAGGTACAGACTCGCCTCGCTTGTGGTCTTCGAGAGACGGTCGGGTCCGAGCTTGGGCAGGCATGTCTGCATTACCTAGAACAGCTCGAGCAACTCCACCCGCGTGCGCATCAGGTCTGCTGACAGCCAGCAGGGGGGGGAGGGGGGGGGGGGGCACGACTCAAGAAGTTCGAAGGGAGTGTCCCAGCCTGTCAGAGAAACGATGTCTAGCATTCGCACCTTCTGCTGGCGCTCCTTACCCAACAAACTCATACTGCTGTGGGACCAATCAGCTCGATCGACTCTGGTGTTCGCAAGGCAAGGGGGGAGACACACACACATGTGTGTGTGTGTGTGTGTACGTACGGATCCCCACATATATATATATTGCAAATGTATATATATATATATATATATTTATACGCGCACATGAATGTATGCATTTAGAATTATCGATACACATGCTTGTGTACACACACACATATATATACAGTGTGAGGAGTGCTGTTCGTGGCGTGCCGCAGTGCCACACTTGCGCAAATCGAATCGGTCGAGTGGGGGCCGACGAGAGGCCGAACCAGAAAAACATGGCTTCACGCCACCATCTTGCTACTTGGACTCCGAGCACCGTGCCAACACATGCCGCTGCGGTCGCACGTCTTCTGAAGGCAACGCCCCGCGAGCTTTTCTTTTCGTCTGGAGCCAGCCCATGTTCGGGGGCGACCGCGCGGCCGAGGAGTTCTCAAAGCTGGGGGCGGCGATTCCGCTGCCCACACCGCGAAATTGCCGGGGCAAGGAGATGCGGGAGCAAGACGCTGCCGAACGATCAGGAGAGCTGGACGGGTGCCAACGTCCAAACACACGTGCCAACAAAACCTCACCATGCCTGCCTTGGTCCTCCGTGCTTCCGCTCCCGTGCGGCTCGCCCCCTCGTCACATTCCACTGCGAAACTCGCCCTCTCGCGGTGCACCTGCCCTCTGTCGGCACCTCTCCCTGACCGAGAGGACTTCCATCGCCCTGGTGGCCCCTTGTGGACATGGACGTGGGGCCGTCGAGGCAGTTCCTCCTCGCTCCCCTGGTCCCCCCCCTGTTTGTGACCAGCCCTGGGTCGTGGCGCTCTGGCTGGGAAGCACTGGGGGACAGCCTGCCGAAAGACACTCATGTGCTCCCCCCTGCTTGTGTCCTCCTCCGTGTCCCTGGTATCTACGTGCCTCGCTGTCCATCCACACGCCGCGGTGCCGCGCGTGGGGCGGGGAGAAGCAGAAACGAACTCGTCCCTGATTCCTACTCCATCCGAGCGCCAAGCCTCTGCACGCGAGTGCTGTGCGCCCCCTCCGCCCAACTTCCGCGCCCTCTGCTCGGCCTGCCTGATGCTGCGGGGGCCCCTACCACCACCCTGGCCGCCAACGTCCAGCCTGGTGGTTCTCCGCCCTTCCACCCCGCGCCTCTCCATCCCACACGCCTCTCCACACGCCTCTCCATCCCATCCCCCACGCCTCCCCACGCGCCTCTCCCGAGTCATCCCACGCGCCTCTCCATCCATCCCCGTCTCACCATCAGGCGGTGTCGCGTTCAGCGAAGCTTTGACCAAGCGAGGCAAGATTGCCGATTGTTTGCGGGGAAATGCACGACCAAGCGAACCGACCGCTTCGGACAAGCCTCCCTACCACCATCCGGCCGTCTCGGTGCCCCGCTTGCGCTCGCTGCTCCCAAACCTGCTCCATCACAAGGCATGCCGGCAAGCGGGCTTTACGTGAGGACTTCCCGCTCAGCCGTGGGAAACAATTTTTCTTCGTGTCTGCCGTGTGATGTTGCGAACCTTGCCCAGAGAGTTAAGCCATCCTCCTCCTCGTCCTCCCGTCTGCTGTGTGCCAACCACGTGCTGTCAAACTGATCCGTCTCCAAACGTGTCCGTGCCTGTGTGTTCCTTTACCCACGACGCACGAGTGCACGGACGCCTGCACCTGTGTGCGCGCTCACACTCACACACACGTGCGGACGCGACCGTGTGCATGCCCGAGAGATAGCTGCGACAATGGTGCGCGGACTCGTCGAAGGCACCTCCTGCTGCTATCCATCATCATCATCATCATCATCATCATCATCATCATCATCATCATCATCATCATCATCATCATCATCATCATCATCATCATCATCATCGTCATCATCATCATCACCACCACCACCACTATCATCATCATCATCATCATCATCATCACCATCACCATCACCATCACCATCACCATCACCATCACCATCACCATCATCATCATGATCATGATCATGATCATCATCATAATCATCATCATCATCGTCATCATCATCATCATCACCACCACCATCATCATCATCATCACCATCACCATCAACATCACCATCACCATCACCATCACCATCACCATCACCATCACCATCATCGTCATCATCATCATCATCATCATCATCATCATCATCATCATCATGATCATGATCATGATCATGATCATGATCATGATCATGATCATCATCATCATCATCATCATCATCATCATCATCATCGTCATCATCATCCCCTCCATTCGCCCTCTCCTCTGATGCCAAGCCGATGCCCTGCGCCAGCCGAGCGCTGCCGCTCACGCCGCAGCGACGCTGCCGCCCGGGGCCTCCGGCCACCTGCGGAGCTCCATCCGCAGGGCCGCCTCGCACCGCCGGCGGGTCGGGCGCCGCTGCGGGGAGGGAGACGACGTGATCGGCTGGAGGCCTGGGACGACCGCCGGCGAGCAGGATCGGGTGGTGAGGCTTGAGGCTGCGCACGGGCAGCCCCACCCTTCGGGGTCGGCCAAGAGGGGGGCGTCCAGGAGGGGGGTGCGCAAACCGTGGCCAGCGGCACGTGCGCGGCCCAGGGCGGGGGGGGGGCAGGGACGGCCTGAAACGAGACGAGGCGCCGGGAACTCCGAGGAAATAGCATGGCTCACGCCATGCGATCCCCCCCACCCAGAGTCATCACCCCACTTCGGGGATGGACAGACCTCCCTTTAGTAAAACGTGGTTCAGTGAAAACGACCTCGGGCCCAAACCTGGCGGGCGCAAGCCTGGAAAATAACGGCCACGGCGCCCTCTCGAGAACCGAAGACGGACAATTCACTAATCGACGTGTCACTGTTGGGGGTTCTGTCCACCCCCGACCACTCCTGGCCGCCCCCAACCCCAGGTGGCCCCGGCCGGGGCGGTCTCAACACCCCAGCGCCGCCGCGGGCGGCCGGCGCGCCCCGGGGGGCGCTCCGCGACCCACGGGTCGAGGTGCCGACGCCGCCCTGGGCTGCGCGGGGGGGGGCCTGCGTAGGCCGGCGGTGTGTGCGCGCAGCCCGAAGTCCTGCCAGGATCCAAGGGGTCCTGCAGCCGAGCGGCGCTGCCACCGCAGGGCAGGCTCCTGCTCACCCCTCCCCTCCCCTGGCCATCGCTCGGACGTCCATTCCCTGTGTTTTTTTTCGGCTTCGTGCGTGTTTTTTTCGCCAAGTGATCAAGAATGCTCCTGGATGGTCCTCGCCGAGGAAAAAACGCACACGTCTGAGCGATGCCAAGCTCCCCTCCCTCACGTTCGGTTCCATTCCCGCCCCCAATCTCTGGTGAGATCGGGAGCGCGCAGGGGCTCGGATCACGGTCCTCCACGACCCGATCTGGACACAGGCCGGGAGTCAGTGATGCCAGCACTGCAGCCACCGATTCGCTCACCAATTCATGACACGATCTACTTGGCAATTTCAGCGTTCCCATGCTCCAGGCACGTGCCATCGAGCATCATGTGGGCGAAGAGTTACGACCATAACGGCCACGATCAATGACCACTTGGCCAACTCCCATTGGAAACTATAGGATCCACGCCGAGGCATCATATAGATCCGAGGTGCATAGTCAATAGTCTTGTGCGCCTGTCGATTGCAATCTGTATCTGGGGCGGCGATTGGAGGGGAAAACAAAGACCATGACCAAGACTGAACGCGGAAACGTAGTGCCAGTATTGGTCACCGTCCATCTTGGTCAACGTAAATTCGCGGAGGTCGCGAAACGGTGATGACCGACATGGACCATGACTAAGATCGGCGTCGACAAGATCCCGCGACCTCTTGGCCATGGTCACCTCGTTTCTTCCGTCGGATGATGCTTTCGGAGGGTTCCAGCGAGACCGAACCTCCTCACGCCAATCTCCGACCCCAAATCGGTGTATGGTTGCCCGCTCGGCCCAATTCACAACACGGCAGACGCTACCGCGACCGTGCTGGCTTATCAAGCCAGCCTGGCGAGGCGCGTCCTCGTCCGCTCGTCCTTTGCTCATCAGTCCTGTGCTTGTCCAGGGTGTCGACATCATAGTATCCCTGCGGGCCCGACGAGCGATGTGCGAACGAGTGTTCGCCGTGGGGGTGACTGTGCATGAGCCTACGCCCCTGGCAGCAGCAAGCGCCTCTATGACTCGCGGAATCCAATGGCCCTACAATCGGTGGACTAATTTGCTAATGAGAACTTGCCGTGGGCGGCTGGAACGCTCGCGCTCGGTAAAGGCGCATTGCTGCAACCCGCGCCGTAAAAATCAACGACTAGAACCCACGCCGCGAACGGCTGGAACGCTCCCGGTCCGAAAAAGAGCATGGCTTGGACCCACGCCACGTGCGGCTGGAATGCTCGCGCTCGGTAGAAGTGCACGGCTGAAGCCCACGCCGCGTGCGGCTTGAACGCTCGCGTTTGGTAGAAACTCATGGCTGGAACCCACGCCGTGGGTGGCTGGAACGCTCTCGCTGAGCTAGAACCCACACGCTCGCGCTGGGTAAACATGAAGGGCTGCGGCCGACACCGTGGACGGCTGGAACACTTTCCAAGGAAATATTCAAGGTTGAAGCCGCCCCTTCTTGTCGGCATGGGCGGCTGGAACACTTTCCCTTGTAGAAATGTAGGGCTGGAGCCTCGCCCGGTTTACGGCTTGCAAAAATATAGAAAGTCGCGGGGGGGAAGGGGACGGGCCAAGGGCGGGGGTCCTTGCATTGTATCCAGGCCTCGCGGTCAAGCCGGGTCAGTCCGCGCGCTCGTCTGTCGGTCAGTCGGTCAGTCGGTACGTCGGTCATGGTCGCCGGTCGTCGTCGTGTCGGTCCGTCTGTCAGTCGGTCCGTCGGTCGTCATCGGTCGTCGTCTCGGTCGGTCGGTCGGTGGATCGGTCGTCGTCGGTCGTCGTCGTTTTGGTCGGTCGATCGGTCGTTCGGTCCGGTCGTCGGTCGTCGGTCGGACGGTCGTCGTCGGGCGTCGTCATCTCGGTCGTCGGTCGTCGGTCCACAGTCAAAACCCGCCCACGCCATGGCGCGCCCTGGAAGCGCGCCATTGGAGCCAAAACGGCCACGGATGCAATGCAATGAGGTTGAGAAGAAAACGTTGGACCCATAATCTGCCGATGCGATACGATCATGAAAATTTCACTACCACCGATAGTCCACTGACTGTGAAAAGCAAACGGTGCCCCCCTGATATCGTTAACACCATCCAACAAAACATGTTCTCGGCGGCTCCCTTCCGGCGATGTCGTTCGCACAGGATAGCAGCATGCAGAATTATTTTCGCGCTCGCCTGAGACGTGACCAAACCAAGAACATGGGAACCCAATCGGAAATTGCTTAAAACCCCCTGGAAACTCTGGACAACTCCAGGAAACTCCAGAGGCCTCCGTGGGAGTTTTTACAGTGCACCGCTGCCAGCCAAACTCCATAGTGCAACAAAAAAGCAGAGGTGGACGAGAAGGGAGAACAATTAGCGCAACCAGCAAGTAGTGGTCTTGGAGGGCGGGGGCCCTCTGCAGATACGGTGCAAACCCTCAAGCTAGCGCTTCGTGATGGCATGCGGGCTCAAAGTGGCGGTAGGCAGAGCTCCCGCACGGTATCCGGGCAAGCGAGGAGGAGGAGGAGAAGGAGAAGGAGGATGATGAGGAGGAGGAGGACCAGTGTAAACCAAGAGTCATCAACGATGTTGAAATCTACCCTCCGTCCATCCCTCTTCATAGGCCCCTGCAATGTTTCCTTTTCGCGGTGGACACTGCCTCGTTGGAAAGCATATGTTTGAAGACCCTGAAGCATGCCAAAGCATTGTTCTCGGAATTTCAACGCCACGGATTAACCTGACTGTTGCGTCTGGGCGAGCTGGAACCGTGCCAGAATGCCATTCCTGGGATTTAAACGCGGCGAATCAACGTAGCTGTTGACCCGCATACTTCCGAATCCTTCCAAATTGCTATTTCTGGTGCGCCGATCATGGAAATCCGTAAGCTCTTGCAGATCTTTAAAACGAATGTGCGCGGCGCTAAGGCGAGAGCCAAATTTTGAAAAGCAACCGCCCTCAATCCGTGACACGCTTGCACATTTTTAAAACAAATGTGCGCGGCGCTAAAACGAGAACCATATTGTGAAAAGAAACCGCCTTCAATCCGTGAAACTCTTGCAAATTTTTAAAGCGAATGTACGCGGGGCTCAAGCGAGAACCACATTTTGAAAAGGAACCGCCCTCAATCCGTGAATCTCTGGCACTCTTTGAAACCGAATGTGCGCGGCGATAAGGCGAAAACCACATTTCGAAAACGGGTCGCCCTCAATCCGTGAAGCTCTTGCAATATTTGAAACCGAATGTTCGCGGCGCTAAGGCGAGAGCCACATTTTGAAAACGACCCGCCCTCCATGTGTGAAGCTGTTGCTAAATTGTAAACTTCAGGGTCATAAGTGATGAGGAAGTCTCAAGCGAAACGCCCGGTCCGTCCTAAAATCTTGCCTCGGGGTGCGACAGGGATAATTTTTTAAAGGGATTGAAAAGGAGGAAGACTCTGCCAAGGATATCGCTTCCGCCCTGGCTCTGCTGTAATTTCCCCTGATGAGGCGGGGGTGCGGTTTCTGATTGTCTCCTGGGGTTACACGATCAACTTTTGGAGCCGGCTTCCGACAGTGCCTGGTGTGAAGGACGCTGCATAAGACGACCCCGCCTGGCGTCTTGGCCAGCATTTCGAGGCGGAGGAGGCCACAGCGGCGAGGGTGCCCGCCCAGATAAGGACGAGGAGGAGGTGGACCATGCTCTGTGGCGGGGGGGGGGTGCTCGGGCTGCGTATCCCCTGACAAGTGCTCGGCAGGTGTTCGGGCTGCACCCTCCGCTGACAATCCCCAAACCCTCCTCCTCCTCCTCCTCCTGCTCCTGCTCCTCCTCCTCCTCCTCCTCCTCATTCTTCTCCTCCTTCTCCTCACTCCTCCTTCTTCTCCTCCTTCTCCTCCCTCCTTCTTCCCTCTTCCTCCCGTCTCCTCCTGCCTCCCTGCCCCTCCTCCTCCCCCCTCCTCCTCCTTTCTCCCCCTCCTCCTCCTCCTGCTCTTCCCTCCCTCCCTTCCTCCCTCCCTCCCTCCGTTCTCCAAATCTATCCTCCTGGCTTACAGGCCACCTGCGGCTGCGCCACCTACGAGCTTGCATGCCAAAACCATGCGCGACTGAACCGAGAGTGGGTCTTTCTCCGAGGGGAGGCGGCGAGTAGAGCAGGGCATGCCCACGGAGAGAGCGAGAGAGCTGGCCTGCAAGTCGATGGACGTGAGGCCATCCCGGGCCTCCGCAGCGGAGCTGGAAGAGGGGCGCAACTTTCTGCCGCTTGCTGCGATTCTACGCCGCTGCGGGTCAACGCCGCCCCGCAGCACAGCATTTCGAGCTGCGAGAGCGGGTCAGAGACGGAGGACGACGAGGAGGAGACTGATATCTATTTGCGTGCCTCCTGGCGGCATGGCCTGGAGAAATTCTCCTGATCTCCCGGTCTGTCGGACACTCTTCGAGGGAAGGGGAGCAGAGCTCATTCCATGGGGCCATCAAAAAGGGCAACTCTCGACATCGAAACGGCGACGGCATTGTGCGAAGCAGTGCAGTGACGTGCCCACCTCACTCGTGAACAACGCCCGCAGCGACAATGCGGCAGACACCTATGTATGGCAGCCAGTGGGAGTCAACAGTTCAAGCCCACTGCGTAGTGAGTCCGAGTCCTTTGAAGGCGAGCCGCCTCAGTAGCTGCCCCAGTGGACACTGGATCTGAGATCTGAATCAGTGGTCAAGATGGCCACCGACGCAACAATGCTCAGCGACTCCTGCGCGATCGCGCCAGAGGTGCACGGACACAGCGGCAGCTGATTCATTACTACGCGTCATATCATGATATGGGGGCACAGGTATGGCCCAAATTCGCCAACATGCGGGCAGCAAATGGAAAGAACTGGTGGAAAACGCCCATCGTGGAAAACATTGCGCCGCTGTGAGGGTAGAAGCACCGCTCTCCGTAAGCATCGGAAGAGAGCGCCAATGAGAACAGTGATGAGGCACAATAAACCACGGTGCCACTCCCTACCGTTCTCGCAGGGTTCTCACAGATGCGAGCAGGAATATATGTCGAGTTTTCTGATCACAATCTTGCAAGCATAATGTGTGATGGCCGTCGGTTTGCCTGCCCTCTGTGTACTGCCAAATCTTGGGACAGACACGATGCTGCTGCACTGATTTGGGTGACTCCTGCACGGCCCTTCCGAATGAAACGGTGCAACTGTTTTGCGTGTGCAGGGGTTGACGAGGGACCTGTCGGAGTGGCAGTCTAGCAGTTTGTCAACAAGGGTCGACTGCTCGAAGTGCCTTTTCCCAAGCGCCGACATCTCGACCAATGGCTGAGCTCTCGCTGCTGGCCGCTCTCGACGACTGAGGCCAGAATGGCCGCGCAGAAATCTTCGCCCAAGCTGGTGATGCCCATGCCACTGCTCCGTCTGCTGCTGCTGCTGCTGCTCCCCCTGTTACTTGTCATAGCCATCGTCGTCGTCGTCGTCCTCTTCGTCTTCGGATCTGCCATGACATCTCGCCAACAGCCATCTGCTCTACATAAGAAGGCAAGCACGCCAATGCCTCGTCGCGACCAATCCCGCTGGCGGCCTGCGGCAGGAATATTTCTCGCTATCCTTCCTCCGCCCTCTCCCCTTTCTGCTCTTCCTTCTCGTCCATCTCCGTCCTCCTCCTCCTCTTCCTCCTCCTCTTGCTCTTCCTTTAGTTCCTTCTCCTTCTGTGTTTTCCTCGCTTCTCGCTCTGGTTCTCTGGTCGTCGCCCTGGAGGTCAAACATCAATCGCCACAGTGGGCCCCAGCGCCATCCGTACCCTCGATATCATCATCGCTGCCATCATCACAATCCCCATCGCCACTCCCCCCCCTCGCGCCCCCGCGCCTCCTGGGGCGGGGGATCCATGAAATCTGAGCAACGAGAGCCGCCCCCCCCTTGCCCTCACCCCCCTCCTGGTCGCCCACGAGCCCCTCCCCTCCCCTCCTCATCCTCCTCCTCCTCCTCCTCCTCCTCCTCCTCTGCTTCCTCCTCCTTCTCCTCCTCCTCTCTTTCATCCTCCTCTGTTTCCTTCTTTTCCTCCTCCTCCTCCTCCTCCTCCTCCTCCTCCTCCTCCTCCTCCCCCTCCCCCCCACGCACGCGTCGGGCTCCGCAGGCCGCCGCGCGCTTCGCTCAAGAATGGCCGGGGTGGTGCACCGAAGCAAGCCTCTGCGGTGCTGCACTTGCGCGGGGGGGGGGATCGCGGAGGCCCAGAGGAATGGGCAGTGGTTAACGGGCGAAGAACGGTATGACATAAACTTTTTCGCCGTCGGGGACACCTGCCCCTGGGCGGCTGGAAAACTTATACCCCTACGGTGCCACCGTAAGGGTATAAACTTTCCAGCCGCCCTGGGGCAGGTGTCCCCGACGGCGAAAAAGTTTATTTCATACCGTTCTTCGCCCGTTAAAGTGGAGCGGGGACCCCTCTGTGCGCCTCGTGGCCAAGCGCCCTCCCCCCGCCTCCTGGGGCGGACCGGCCCCCATCCGCACGGACTGCTGCGAAGTCTGCGCGCCAGCTGCCGGCGGCCATCCCGGAGGAGCCCCAGGCTTTGCCCCCGAGTCGCGGGAGGGTTCCCGAGGCTCTGGGCAGTGCTCCTGGCTTAACTCGTGGGCGCAATTGGCATTCCGATCGGGCCACGCTCCTCAACGGCACCCCGGAACACTGGGTGCCTCCTCTTCCTCATCCGCCCTGTCTCCCCTTCCCTTGCCTCCCCCCTTCCCCCCTCCTTCTCCCAAAGCCCTCCTCGAACAACCCCCAAGGCAGGCAGAGCAGCATGGAGGCGCCATCTGATGGCGAGGTCCGACTTCGGCGGCGGCGGCCTCGGGGGGGGGAGGCAGGATCAATCAACACTGAACTGGGGAATAGGATCGAACCGAAAGGTGCGTCGGACCGGACCGCATCGCAATCGGATCGCCCGCGCCATGGTACACAGCAAGCCCATGCAAACATCAGGGCCGCATCGGATGGCCAAGATGTTGGAATCGAAGCGGATTGATCCGGCTGGAGCCGTTATTGCATCGTGTGGGCGGGTCTCTCTCTCCGAGGACGATGACGACGAGGGAAGGGAGGAGCAGGAGGAGGAGGAGGAGGAGGAGGAGGAGGAGGAGGAGGAGGAGGAGGAGGAGGAGGAGGAGGAGGAGGAGGAGGAGGAGTAGGAGGCCTCGACGGCACCAAGAGGAACGCCAGTGAGCGGATCTGGCCTGAGAGGTAGCCAAAATGCCTCGGCCAAGGACAGTCCGCACCATCATGCCCGCTGTCATGTCGGAGCTGCCGCGCAAACGGCGCGCCATGCGCGTTCCGGCCTCTCTCCCTCGCTCCCTTCCCTCCCCCTTCGTGCTCCTTTGCTCTGGCCCTCCAGTTAGCCCTTCTTCCCCGAAGCACCTAGTTTATCCGCGCGGAGTTCGTGCTGTTGCCGCTGCTGGTGCTTGTCCGTCCTCTGTGCATCTGTGCAGCTCAAAGAACTGCCGTGTGCAGAAGGTCCCGATACGCGGCAGGCGGCGATGCTGCGTCTCCTCGCCAGCACAGCCAGGATCACCGACGCCAGCGTCCTCGCCAACACAGCGTGGACCACCAACGCCAGGATCCTCGCCAACACAGCCGGGATCACCGACGACGGCGTCCTCGCCAGCTCAGCCGGGAACACCGATGCCAGCATCCTCGCCAGCCCAGCGATGATCACCGGCGCCAGCATCCTTGCTAGCACAGCGCGGATCAGCGACGCCAGCCAGCATCTTCGCGGGCACAGCCAGGAGCATCGACACCAGCATCCTCGCCATCACAGGTGGGAACACCAACGCCAGCATCCTGGCCAGCACAGCGCGGATCACCAGCGCCAGCACTCTCGCCAGCACAACACGGATCATCGACGCCAGAACCTTCGCCTGCACGGCCAGGAGCACAGACGCCAGCATCGTCGCCAATGCAGATGGGAGCATCGACGCCAGCATTTTCGTTAGCACTGCGCGGATTATTGCAGCAGCCACGGTCGCCTGGAGAGCCGCGACTTCTGTCCCGGGCTCGCGTTCCGCTTTGCGCCTCCCTGGCTAGTCCCAGGATTCCGAGGCTCTGGCAGGGCGGGGGGTTCAGCCACCTGAGCTCGACCTTGAGGAACGTGTGGGTTGGACAAGCTGCGCGCTGTTCGAAGCGGCCTCCCCCTGGCACGTCAATCGCCACCAGCCTTGCGTCCTCCCGCGAGGGCGCTTGAGCAGAAGCACGGAAGCCCCTCAATGCGTTGCCTGTCTTGAGCCCGTCCGAGGTGCACCGAGCGAGGGGCTACGCGGGCCCTTGCACTACGAGTGCTCCCTGTAGGCGGCAAGGGGCCAGTGGCGACGATGGCGTGCGGGCAGACGCTGCGGCAGCAGTCGTCTTCGAGGAGGCAGACGCCGCCGCTGCCGACTGGTGGCTGAAGGACGATACGCGCCACTGCAGAGCGACGACAGCGGCCCTCCTGCAGTGGGGGCCTCCGGCAGGGGAGACAGAAGACGGCGCGCTCGGGTCTCCTGGCCCCAGCCCCGCCCGCGCCGCCGCACGCGCCGCCCACCCAGGCGCTCTGCTCGACGACGCTCCCGACGGCCCTTCCTTCAGCCCCGGGACGCAGACGTGGCGGCCATTGCTCCCCGTGCCCCGGGCCCCTGCGGCGGCTGGCAAGAGCAACCCGCCAGGGAGGCGCAGCGCTCGGGCGCGCCGGAGGTTCCTCAGAGGCCTCTGGCAGCGGGCCGCCGGACGGTCCGGCAGTCGCGGCGCGCCGGCACCAGGCTGGCACTCGGGCCAGGTGCTCCATCCACGGATGCCCGAGGACCCGCGCCGACCTGGAGCCGGACGAGCGCGGCGGCTGGCAGTGCAGAAGGCTCGCCCCATGTACCCTGCGTTCTGGGTGACGACTAGCCCCGCTCACAGCTGGGGCCCTGCCGCCCCCAGCACCCCGGGCAGCGGGTCTTCGCATTACCGATGATGCGCGGTGCTGTCGTGGCGTGCCTCGCACCCTGACCGCGCAGATCGGCCATGCATCGTGTTCCCTTCTTGCCCTGAGCGAGAGGGCGTGGAGCTGCCGCGGCACCGGCACGTGAGGCGGCACGAGGCCCTAGCTGGGGCCCGTTGACCCTGGTCGCGGCCACTGCGCACCTGGACCTAGTACCCCGTACGCTTCCTTGTCCTGGGCACGTTCAACACTCGCCTCTCCGTTCCTCTCGCTGCGTACCTGGGCCTGGTGTATGCTGTTGGCTGCATGCTTCATGTCCGTCTCTCACCGTCAACCGTTGCCATGCACATGCCTCAGCAAGCGTCACATTCGGCTTTTTGCCGCCCTGGTAACGTTGTCACGCACATGCCCCAACAACCGTCCGATTCGCTGTTTTGCCGCCCTGGTAGCGTTGTGACGCGTATGCCTCCGCACCCCCCTGATTCGGCTTTTTGCCGCCCTGGTGTTGACATGCATATGCGCTGCTCACCGTCTGATTCGGCTTTGTGCCGCCCTGGTGGTCCTGTCGCTGATCGCGCTTCCCTTGGCCACGGGCCGGGGGCCCAAGATCACTCGGACAGAGCTCTCGGCGCGGAGCCTCCCAGCCACGTCAGCTCCAGCGGTGGGGTGGGGAGCTGGGGGCTCCCCCTTCTGGTGCCTCCTCTCCCTCGCTTCCTTACCTCCCCCTCCCTCCCCCTGAGCGGCGACGACGGGGGGAGATGCGGCGACCTGGCATCGACGATGCGTCGTCGATAGATCGGCGACAAGCCCCCGACAGCGAGAGCGCACCTTCCTGGGCGGGTCGGAAGGCCCCCCCCCCCCGCGGGCCGCAGCGTCGCGCCCGCCGTGCCGGCGGCGCGTCGTGCGCGCCGGCCCACCCGCAGCCTCTGGCCGCCCGCCGCCGGGGTGCCGCGCGGCTCTGCCCGGCCCCGCCGCCGTTCGCGGAGAAGGGCGGGCCCATCCGCTCCGACCACCTCGCGCCTCCTCCGCCCTCCTCCTCCTCCTCCTCCTCCTCCTCCCTCCTCCTCCCTCCTCCTCCTCCTCCTCCCCCCTCCTCCTCCTCCTCCTCCTCCTCCTCCTCCTTCCTCCTCCTCCTCCTCCTCCTCTCCTCCTCCTCCTCCTCCTCCTCCTCCTCCTCCTCCTCCTCCACTCCTGTGGTCTCGATGGCAAAATGGCGGCCCACGTGCCACCTCATCAGACACGCCTGCGAAAAAGTTGGCGGGAGTTGGGGGCCCAGGTCGCGAGAGGGGGGCGGCGGGCCACCTCTCGCGAGTCCCTCGTCGCGCTCCTTCTGTGCGTGCCCCTCCGGTCCTGTGCTCGGAGGCTGCGACCCGAGGCTCCCTTGCAGACCGCCCGTCCAATCATGCTCGGCCTTCGCTGACGGCGTGCGACTCGTTGCCCTGGGCTCAACTTCGTCGTAGGTCATCCCTTGCGAATTTTGCTGCTCTCCTGCCTCGTTGGGCTGCTGCCCTCGGGCTGCACGGAATCATTTCCCTTGCTCCTGTGGCGCGTCTCCTGGCAACCTCCCGAGATCGTGGCCCCTGGATTCGAATGCTCCTCAGATCCTTGGGCTTCTTCCACGTCTCCCTGCTGTGCACGCCCGTGCTCTGGCACACACGCGCAAGGACTACATGCTCTGAGCATGCTCGCTCCTCCTCCCCCGCGCCCGTGCTCTTCCCGCTCCTGTCGTGCTCCAGTCGGCCCCGTGGTGTCCCTCGGCTGCCTTCGCACGTGGCGTGGACCTGCGCCGCTGCGACCCACAAGTGTCAGCGCGAGTCCGTGTGCCCTCCCTCGAGCGCGGAGTAGCGGATCCGACTCGGGAGTGGGGGCTGGAGGCCATCGGACACCACTCTGCTGAGGCCCCTCCCCTGAGCCGGGCGTGCTTGCCGCCAGCTTCGAGCGGGATCTTCCTCCCCGTCGTCATGCTCTCTTGCATCGTTGGCTCACCTCCTCTTCCCTCGCTCCCTCCCCGCCTGCCCTCGCCTCCACTTACTCTTGCAAGATCGACCAAGGACAGAGGTCAAAAGTACCGCCAACGAGGAATTACTACATCTTCGTTGTTCGGGCTCCGTATTCAACCTACGATCTGGCGCCTGCACGCCCACGAGTGCTCATAGCGTGAAAGGTGAAGTCCTCTGCGCATTATGAGGCATCCACATCTTCTCAAATAATTGCGAACTGCCGTTGCCAATGCCCACACACTGTCACGACCAGAAGCGCTGACATTTACGTGGCGCAACATGCCAGCACATCGTCCTCCTCCGCCTCCCACTTCTCTGCCCGCCAAGCTGCTGGTGTACAGCCCCGAACTAACCATCGGTCGGGAGACGCGGATCAACGAAACACGATGTAGCAACAACACTGGAAATAGACAGGGCCTCCGCCCGCTCCCCGGAGGACGAGGGAAGAAGGGGGGGGCACCGCTCGACTCTTGAAGCAGGACGGCGCCTAAAATAGGGGAACAAAAAGTGACATGAACATAAAAACTCGGAGGTCCGCGCGGATTTCTCGGATCGGCGCTGGGGCCCCCCGGCGGCGCCTCCGGCGCCGCCTCTGGCGCGCTCCGCGCGCCAGGGAGGGGGGTCAAGCGCCGATCCGAGAAATCAGCGCGGACCTCCGAGTTTTTATGTTCATGCCACTCTTTGTTCCCCCATAAAAAGGAGGCTGTGACCTGGGGGCCGACTGGGGCTGGGACCGTCGATTGGGACCCGGATGCCTTCAGCGCGACACCGCCGGGTGCGCCCTCTCTGCCACCCACCGCACCCGCCGGAGCCGCACCAGAGGGCGGGGGGAGGGCGAGCCGTCGCGGCGGAGAGGCGCTTGGCGCAGTGCTCGGGTGTTCGCTCCACCGCCATGAACGCGAACAAGGACCTCGCCGCCGGCAAAGGGCACAAATATCATCGACGAGCCCCAGCAGAGGTGGGAAAGTGCACGGGACGTGGAGGGGAAGACGAGAGTCCATAACGGATGGAAGGGTACGGGGAGTCCTGGGATCTGTCTATTGATGTGTTTGCCCCTGGGCCCCCCAAGGGGCGGCGAGGTGCCGAGGTGGTCCGCGTGGGACGTACCTCCGCTGGGCCTCCCAGGAGCCCACGAAGGTGGCGACAGCTGCGCAGACCGCAAGCCCCCCAGGGGGCGGCGAGGTACCGAGGTGGTCCGCGTGGGACGTACCTCCGCTGGGCCCCTTCATGTTGGCCCCCCCCCTGGGGCTGGTCGCCCCCCTCATCGCCTTCGAACCCAAAGGTACATAAAAATCGCAGGCCGCCCTGCACGTCGGCCTGCGCCCCTCCACGGCCGGCGGCGGAGGGGAGCACGTATTGGATGAGGAGAGGGTCTCCTGGACGAGCGCGCCGCCGTGGTGGTCGCAGCCCGTGCGTACACGGGCAAGGACGGGCCTGCGCTGCCTTCGGCGGCGGACCTCGCCGGCAGGCTGCCTCTGGAGCGTGTGTGGTGCCACGCCGCCAACTCGGCATCATGCGCCTTGTGCTTTCTTGCAGGTGCCAATCTGTGCGCGCACTTGCGCTTGCTTTGCCTGCTTCGAATCGATTGATGTCACTTCGGTTCTTCCAACGATGCGTCAAAAGACGTTCACTCGGTGGGCCCAAACACACAGTGATGACTACCGGCGAAGACTCAGAAGTACTTCGTCACTTTCAGCACTGCCCACACAGGTGCGATGTTGAATCCCACCAGCCCTTTGGGCGTGAGTGGTTTAGGGAGCTCTCTCTGTCCTCAACCCCCCTTCTTCCCCTTCGGGGAGGGGTTTACCCCTCCCCCTACCCCCTCCCCCTGGGCCTGGAGAGGGCGGGCCGCAGGTCGTCAGGGGAGTCTTTTTCGACTCCTGGGAGGGCCAAAAAACGACGACCCTCACGAGGATTCTGGCCCCGAGGGGGGGGAGGGAGTTTGGCGCCTGAACTCGTCGTTGAAGTAAAAAACATGGATTTTACTACGGTTTTGGCCCCATTTTGGCCTTCTGAGGGGGCCGCGTTCCTCTTCCTTCATAGCAAAATCATTGATTTTACGAAGGTTTTGGGCTCATTTTCTCTTTCTCAGGGGCCAGCGCTCCTTTGCGCTTCAGAGGGCCCCCAAGAGGCCCCAAGAGGCCCCCAAGAGGCCCCAAGAGGCCCCAAGAGGCCCCCAAGAGGCCCCCAAGAGGCCCCCAAGAGGCCCCCAAGAGGCCCCAAGAGCCTCCAAGAGCCCCCAAGAGGCCCCACGAGGAGCCCGAACGACTCACACCAGGACGAGGGGCCCGAACGACTCACACCACGAAGAGCCCGAACGACTCACACCAGAAGGAGGGGCCCGAACGACTCACACCAGGACGAGGCGCCCGAACGACTCACACCACGAGGAGCCCGAACGACTCACACCACGACGAGGGCCCCGAACGACTCACACCACGAGGAGCCCGAACGAGTCACACCAGGAGGAGGGGCCCGAACGACTCACACCAGGACGAGGGGCCCGAACAACTCACACCACGAGAAGCCCGAACGACTCACACCAGGACGAAGAGCCCGAACGACTCACACCACGAAGAGCCCGAACGACTCACACCAGGAAGAAGGGCCCGAACGTCTCACACCAGGACGAGACACCCCAAACGACTCAAACCACGAGGAGCGTTTTCTCTCCCTCCTCCTCCGCCTCGTCCTTCTCCCCCTGCCCCCACAAGGAGGATGTACAAGGAGGCGGGAGGAAGGAGGAACAGGGGAGATATGCGGGGCAAAGCGGACAAACGCCTGAAAAACACAACTGTCGGCATGCTTCGCAAGAGTTGCTGCTGTGAGATGGGCTGGTGGGGATACGCGAAGCGTAAAGAATTAAACTTCTGGTTGTGATGTGCAGTGTCTGATTTGCAAACATTCCGAATGATATTGTGAGATGCTGAAGGACCGAGCCTCTCGAAGTACGTTTTCCAGGGATGGGAGTGCTGGCAGACCCATCCCATTTTGCGGCGCACCGCGAAATCAAACACCATTCGTTGTATGAGGCTGTGCCGCCCTCCTCGTCGCCAAGTGTGCAGCCGCCAAACTGGCTGCGCTGTCGCTTGTGAAGCTACGAGTCTGGATGCCGCCGCGACTTGGTGGCACATGCGCACGGGAACTCTACCATTGGTGGGTCGGGAACAGAACCTCGTCTGGGCTCACAGCCTCGGAGTGGAGAATGCGGAGGCCTCGCTTCGCGCACCTTCACGCTGAGTGCTCTTCGTTACCCGACCAGGGCTTCAGTGATCATAGAACAGCGCTATGGGCACAATGCGCTATAGGTAAATCCCAGCGGCTCGTCTCGAAGTGATCAGGCAAAACTCATACGAACGGCAATCTCGGGACAATCTGGGACCCATGTTCTCCTCGACTCCCCCGTCAACGCAAATGCTCGTCGCAATTGCACCGGTAGCTGCGGCACCCCATGCTCTGGTGGACCCGAGTACTCCGTAAGGTCAAGAAGAGCGTGACACGAGCGATGGAAACTCTGATGCCGACTGTGCACACTGCGCTGATCAGGGCTGGAGCCAATGACCGAACTTCAGGAAACGCGTGCAAAATATGATGACGCACGTGTTACACATATACGTGTATCAATAAGTGTCTTTCAGGACAGGTCCGCGGAGAGCGTCACGGATGCTGGGTGCATCAACTTGTGCATTTCTTGGGCTTGCCGCCTCCATGAACCAACCCCTCCTGCGTGCCAAACGTCATTCTGACGGCGAATTGTTGATAGGGAGCGGGAAAGAAAGAGAGGGGAAGGAGAGCTCAGGCGAGATATAGCTGATGTCACATGAGCGTGTGGGGGGGTACATGTATGCAAGCATCAATGCAAGATGCTTCAAGCTTTTAGATAAGTGGGAATATCACGCTACAATGCCCAGGCATACATGAAGTGCCAAGCGGGATGGGCGCCGCGAGGGTGCAGGAACATACGCAGCGAGAAACAAATCTGCTTGACCGAATAAGGTGGAAGAGGCTGTGCCAAAACGCAAGTGACATTAGACGCATGCTAAGAGAATTGCACACAACATAGCGTGACCATGCAATTCATTAACCACCGCGTGCACAGAATACATGCGCGAATCCAACATCCAATCAGCAGAAGTCACAATTGCGGAATGTATACACAGAAGGTGAAACAAACCAGAATAACAACGAAACGTACGATGAACGTCGCCCACAAAACGACTGGCCAAAAACTCCATATCCTCATGTCCTACTATCACAATCCACATCCTGAAGGACTGCCCAACGCCAAACTATCCGTCACCGACCGCGGGCCAACTGGCGAACCATCAAGTGCATCGCGGAATGGTCGACCAACAGTTTTCGTAAACGCTACCATTGATCAAAAGACCGACAACAAGCATGCTGGCCTCACGTCTAGGCAATCTACCGCACGCAATACCCAAAACATTGCTTGCACTACGACGTCTTGCTCATGTGATAAGATGTGTAGATTCGGTCATTCCCAATTGGTGCCCCGTGTGTCGGTGCCATATGCATTGGTGCCACATGGCTGTTCTTGTGCTGCAGAGCCGGTCATTCCTGGTCGGTGACATATTGTATGCGGTCATGGCCTATGGCTGGCCCTGTGCTGCGCAATCGTCGGTGCGGTATAGCTGGTGACCTGTGTTTTCGTGCCTGGCTGCTGGCCCCGTGCTGCTGTTGCGCAGTCGGCTGGCGCCCTGTGCATTGGTATCCCGTGGCGCCCTATGGTTGGCGCCTGCAGGCTGGCCAACCATGGACGGCGCCGTATGGCTGGTGCCGTCGTGTGCACCATGTGGGTCGTCGGTATGGCAGTGACCGTAAGTTCTCTTTCTGGCGATGCACAAAATCAAACCCCATGCCGAGGCCAAACTTAACGGCACACCGTCGAACATGGACTATTCACACACACATAAATCTCTCTCTCTCTATATATAGGTGTGAGGGTCCAATTTCGCCCATGGTGACTCCAAGAGGGCCTCCGATGCTCCAAGGTGACCTCCGAGGCGGCCTATTGTAGCCGAAGATGGTTACATATGAATTCAGGCATACCTCGAAGAAGTCCGACGAGGGTCACCACACGGGTGTATGTGCTCTCGGAGCCCCTCGGGACCCCCCAGAGATGCCAAGATCCTGCAACCACGCAAGGCAACTCGATGTCGTGTGCTGTCTCGCGTTTCCGCTTCCGATGCGATTTTTTGGGCCTCAAGTTTTTGTTGTTGAGCCCCAGCCGCCTCCAGGGGTCTGAGGGCCTCGGACACAGCAAGAACGCAAGGTGGCCCCAAGATGGCCCAAGAGAGCCCACGAGCCTCCCCCGAAGGCCCCAAGAGCGCCCCAAGAGGTGACCTCGAGGGCCCTTGGTGGCGGGCGGCAGTCGGGACCCCCCCCTTGATCGATGGCCTCCAAGATGGCCTCAGGAGCCATCCGATCTTCCAAGAGGACCCCAAGAGAGTCCCAGGAGGGCCCCAAGACGGCCCCAAGAGCGCCCCAGAGCGGCCCAAGAGCGTCCCACGAAGGCCCCAAGAGGCTCCTCTTCCTCCTTCTCCTCCGCCTCCTCCTCGTCCTCCTCCTCCTCCTTCTCCTCCTCCTCTCCTCGCCCCCCGCGGGCCCCAGGGATGGCACGATGAGGCCCTCCAAGGCCGCCCTCTTGCTCCCAGAGATCTCTCTGTTCATCCTGGTTGCCTGCTTTGTTTCACTGTATAAATGTCCCTTCGCCCCTTGTCCCGTCAGCTCTCGTGGACACTGTTTCTGAACCAGCTGGTGGGGACACGCGAAGCGTGAAGGATGGCACAACCAATTGGACACCCTCCTGTACGGTACACACGGGAAACCCGACGCGTCAACATGCAGGATCTTACACGGGAGAACACCTGCTACTTAGCCTATCAAATTGCCAGCTCTGGGGCCGGCAACGGCCGCCCCGGCCCTGCTTACGAAACATATAATACAGAGCCCTTGCAGACAATCGGTGTAAGAAACTAGAAGCCCGAACTATCAACAACTACTCCAGATTTCGTAATACAGGGAGGGGGGTCTCATTTCGGGGGGGTCTCTTCCAGGCCATCTTGGAGGGCCTGGGGGGGTCTGGGGACGATGTTTTGGAGGGTTCTCCCACGGGGGGGGGTCTGAAACTTCTCGTCTGGGAGGGTTGAGACCCCCTCCCTTTTATTACGAAATCTGGAGTACCCATGGTTCAACACACGGGCTGTCAATTTCCTTTGCGGGCGCAGTCGCCGGAACCATGCCATCCTTACGTGTTTTCAGAGATCTCACCCAAGACCCATTCGAAAACACCTGCTCCTTCAGGGCCATGTTGCTCGATGTCGCTGCCCCCCATCGTCGCCCACGCAAAGCAAGCATGCGGGTCACACGCGCGTGCCCTCGTGCGCGCAAGTCGACCCCAGTCAAAGCCACTTGCTTGTTTGGAGCATTCGACAATAAAGTTCTCCAAGCACGTTTCGGAACAATGGCGCGGTGCATTTCAGCACTTCATCCGAAACCATCATGATTCGCCCGCCCGAACCATGGATCTGCATGAGAAGTGTCCGCGCGTCAATGCGCCTGCTGGGACTTACGGAACAATGCCGATCTGTATCTGCATTCACGGTCTCCTAAATCTGTCCAAGATGTTGCGGGCGGGTGGGTGGGATGCTTGATCGAGCATGGATTCAGACTCTGATCGTCAGGCTGCACCGCCCAGGTTGGACCTTATACGTTGCGTTGAGTCATTGTTTGAGATCCACGCGCTGGCATTTTGTGTCCGCATGGTTCACCCCCCGAGCAGCTGGTCATCTGACGGAAGCGGCAGACCAACACACTTTTCTCAGGGTTGTCCCGCACGGGGGGTGCCCGATGGGAATGTTGGCGACATGTTGTGAGACATTTCATACGCAACGCTTTCACACGGAACAGGACTCTGTCGCCCAGACGTGTTCAAGAGCCTCTTAGTTGAAGTTTTGCCTATGCTGCATCCCTTCGCCGCGTACGAAATGGAGTGGTGGCAGGGGGAAGGTGTTGTGAAGGAAGGAGCAGATACTGGCAAGGAAGACAGTGAGTGGGACAAGTACAGGGGTTAAGACAGTGGTGATCATGAGGAAACGACGGCGAGGAGGAGGAAGAGGAGGTGGAGGAGGATGAGGAACACGAGGAATGGTATGCAAAGAGGAGTAGCATCAGGAGAAGCTCTGCCCTCACGTTGCCCATCACCCACGCAACGGCTGGCTGGGAGCGGCGCACTGGAAAACGTCGAGGAAGGAGAAGATGCAACCGACATTGTGAAACAAGTCGAACGAGACGCCGCGCATTTTCACGGCCTGGCCCGGCAACCGCGCGCGTGCGCTCGCCGGGCGTCCCAGAGGGCGGCGACAACTTTACGACACCCTGTCGCCCTTTTCAGACGGTGGGGCGGTGCGAAAGCGGATGTTGCAGCGACATCTTAAGCTGGTCGTGCCGCAAGGAAAGCAGCAAAAGTCCCCCATGTGGTCAGCTTCGGACGCCCTGAGCCAAGACATGTTACCATCTCTTCGGAGGGTGTGGGGGGAACTTGTGCTTCTGCCGGTCTCCAGAAACGAAGCGGCGATGATAATTCTGTCAGTTCCTCGACATCGAGGGCCTGTCTGGAGCGCGCCACATGGAGGCGCCGCCCAGTGCCGTGTGCTGTCGCGTCGAGCGCAAGAGGAGAGTCGGCCACAACTCGGGGGCGCGCAAACATGGATTAGCGATCCATCGATTTGGCGCGCGGTCGCCAAATCCATGGATCGGGGGAGGTGCCCTCCCCAAAATGCGGCCGGTGCCGCCTCGTTTGGCGGCAGAAATCGATTTCCAATGGAAACGGGGCCCGTCGCTAATCCACGCCCCCTTGATCCATGTTTGCGATCGCCTGAACAACGGTGCCCTGCGGTACCGTGCAACGGTTTGTGCCAGTGGCCCCCAAACGTCCAAACACCTCAATCCTCGATCCTTCCTTCTCCTCCTCATGCTTTTTCTGCTCCTCCTCCTCCTCCTCCCTCTCCCTTTCTTTCCGCTTGCCTTCTCCTAGAGCCCCCCCTCCTTTCTGCGGAAGCCGCTCGAACTGGCCTCGGGGGGCTCAATCAAACATCAGAGATGTTTTACATCCTGGGCCTTAGATCCCCGTTCCTGCCCGTTCCTCCTCCTCCTCCTCCTTCCGCCTCGCCCTGCTGGAGGAGGCAGGATGATGATGATGATGATGATGATGATGATGATGATGATGATGATGATGATGATGATGATGATGATGATGATAATGATGATGCTGATGATGATGATGATGATGATGATGATGATCAAAGTGATGATGATGATGATGATGATGATGATGATGGTGATGGTGATGGTGATGGTGATGCTGATGCTGCTGCTGCTGCTGCTGCTGATGATGATGATGATGATGATGATGATGATGATGATGATGATGATGATGATGATGATGATGATGATGATGATGAGAGGAGGAGGGGTAGGGGTAGGAGGGAGGCGAAGAGGATCGAGTAGGAGGGGGGAGACGAATGAGCAGGAGGATCGGAGGCACAACATTGCAACCTGGACTCGTCCTGGAGCGCGCCGCTCTGACCAGACATCCAAGCGGCATCCAGCCGTGGCGACGATCACCCCCCCAGGCGCCCGAAGAGAGCACAGACCGTTCAAACCTCTCGGACCTCTCGGATCCCTCCCTGCGGAAGAAGCCGCTAGAGCCACGGCACAGGGGACCAGTACACGACAGCACAAAACTATCGGGGACAAGGTATTTGTGCTCATATACTAAACTGTACCGAACTTCCACCGCACGCTTCCAAATGCACCGAACTTTGTAGCAGGTTTAGGGATCCCTTGTGGACACGAACTCTGGGGACGTGCTGACCAGAGTCAGTGGTACTCTGGGGACAGCCGAGGCCACGCGGCGGGCTCCAGAGACCTCGAAGCCGACAACCTTGCCAGCTCTCTCCGGGGGGGGGGGGCGCATCGTGCGCTTCCGCGGGCGGAGCGGAGCCGCCCTCGCGTCCCCTCCGCCGCCTCCCGCAGGCCTTCCGCCGGCCTGCCGCCGAGGCAGAGACGGCAGCCTCTTGTGATTCTCGGAGGCGAGGCCCTCTCTGGAGCGCCTCCCGCGCCGCGGCCTCGCGAGCGGGCCGCGCAGCGGGGGAGGCGCCGACGGCCCACGCGGCCCCCAAGTCCAGATGTTCGCCAGAGTGGGCCGGCTGACCCTCGTCGGCGCCGTTCCCCGTGACGTGCACCCGCCCCGAGCGAAGGCCCGACCCGCGGCCCCCTCCTTTCTCCTTCTCCTCCTCCTCCTCCTCCTTTCTCCTTTCTCCTCCTCCTCCTCCTTTCTCCTTTCTCCTCCTCCTCCTCCTTCTCCTCCTCCCGCTCTGTGGTACTGCAACGCCCTCCTCGTCCTCGTCGTCGTCCTCCTCCTCCTCCTCCTCCTCCCCCTCCTCCTCCTCCTCCTCCTCCTCCTCCTCCCCCTCCCCCTCCTCCAGGATGAGGATGAGGATGAGGATGAGAATGATGAGAGGAACATGAGGAGGCGGAGGATGAGGAGTATGAGAAGGATGAGTCAGAGGAGGAGGAGGACGATGAGGATGAGGAGGGGCGGGGGGGAAGGAGGAGGAGAAGGTGGATGATGATGATGATGATGATGATGATGATGATGATGATGATGATGATGATGATGATGATGATGATGATGATGAGAAGGAGGAGGAGGAGGAGGAAGAGGATGGGAAGGAGGTGGAGGAAGACGACGATCCGGAGGAGGAGGAAACATAGGAGGAGGAGGGGTAGGATGAGGAGGGGGAGGATGAGGAGGATGAGGAGGAGGAGGAGAAGGACAAGGAGGATGAGGATGATGATGATGCTGTTGATGATGATGGTGATGATGATGACGATGCGGAGGAGGAGCAAGATGAGAAGGATGAGGATGAGGATGAGGATGAGGATGAGGCGGGGGAGGAGCAGGAGGAGGAGGAGGAGGAGGAGGAGGAGGAGGATGAGGATGAGGATGATGATGATGAGGAGGAGGAGGAGGAGGAGAAGGAGAAGGAAGAGGAGGAGGAGGAGGAAGAAGACGATCCCGAGGAGGAGGAATAGGAGGAGGACGGGTAGGATGAGGAGGATGAGGAGGATGAAGAGGAGGAGGAGGAGAAGGATAAGGAAGATGAGGATGATAATGCTGCTGCTGCTGCTGATGATGATGATGATGATGGTGATGATGATGATGATGATGATGATGATGATGATGATGATGATGGTGATGATGATGATGACGATGCGGAGGAGGAAGATGATGAGGATGAGGATGAGGATGAGGATGAGGAGCAGGAGGAGGAGGAGGATCAGGAGGAGGAGGCGGAGGAGGAAGAGGAGGAAGATAATGAGGAGGCTGAGGTGGAAGCGGAGGAGGAGGAGGAGGCGGAGGAAGCGGATGATGAGGAGGATGAGAAGAAGGAGGATGAGGATGAGGAGGAGGAGGAGGAAGAGGAGGATGAGGAGGACGATAATGAGGAGGAGGCGGAGGAGGAAGAGGATCAGGAGGAGGAGGCGGAGGAGGATGGGGAGGAGTAACGGGATGAGGAACTGGATGAGGAAGGTGGGGAGGACAAGTATAATAATGAGAAGGAGGAGGAGGAGAAGGAAGAAGAGGAGAAGAAGGAGGAGAAGGAAGAGGAGGAGGAGGAACGCGAGGAGGCAACGGAGGAGGATGCTGATGATGCTGCTGCTGATGATGCTGTTGATGATTATGCTGCTGATGATGATAAGGATGATGATGCTGATTATGATGATGCTGAGGAGGAGGATGAGGAGGCGACGGAGGAGGCGGAGGAACGGGAAGAGGACGATGAGGAGGAGGAAGAGGAGGAGGGTCGGGAGGAGGAAAGAGAGGAGGAGGAGGAAGAGGAGGAGGAACGGGAGGAGAATGATGAGGAGGAGGATGAAGCAGATGAGGATGATGATGCTGCTGATGATGCTGCTGGTGATGCTGCTGCTGCTGATGATGATGATGATGATGCTGATGGTGATGATGATGAGGAGGAGGAAAGGAAAACGGAGGAGAAAGAGGAGGAACGGGACGAGGAGGAGGAGGCGGAGGAAGAATACCAAGTTCGAGGTCCTCGACCCTCGAGATGGAGGCCTTGTTTCTTGCAGCGCGCGCGTGCGCTTGCGTGGCGCGCGGCACTCTCCGCGCGGCCGCGCGGCGGCGGCCGCCTCTGCGGCCCGCCTCCGCGCGGCGGCCACTCCCTCTCCTCCTGCAACTCCTCCTCCTTCTCCTCCTTCTCCTCCTCCTCTGTCCTCCTCCTCCATCCTCCTCCTCCTCCTCCTCCTCCTCCTCCTCCTCCTCCTCCTCCTCCTCCTCTCCTCCTCCTCCTCCTCCTCCTCCTCCTCCTCCTCCTCCTCCTCTCCTCCTCCTCCTCCTCTATCCTCCTCCTCCTCCTCCTCCTCCTCCTCCTCCTCCTCCTCCCAGTCCCACCCCCCCCTCCTCCTCCTGCTCCTCCTCCTCCTGAAGCCCCCTCCACAGCCCTCGTCCTGCTCGCTCCTGCCCCCCCCCTCACCCCCCCCCCTTCCCCCCTCCGCTCGCCCCTGCCCGTGCCTCCTGCCCCCCCCAATCCCCCCCCCTCTGCTTTAGGACGGGACTACGGTGAGGGCATTGGCTAAGGAACCATTGGAGAAGGAATCCAGGGTCTGGAAGCTGGTGGAACACCCTTCGTGGATTGGCCATGTACATCACTGCCGACCTCATCAGATAAGCAATCCCCCAGGGTCTGAAGCCCCCTGGGCACACTCCTTCACGAACGCCCCCACCGTACTCTCATGATCAGATTGGCTCAGGATGCGCTCCAAGACTGCCAGAGCGCGCAGCGGCCCGCGCTTCTGCCCCCCGCGCGGAACCAGCAGGGACACTCGGGGACCGCCTGGAAATCTCCTGAAACCCCTGGAGCGCAGCATGATAGGGGCTCCGGGAGCGCCTGGAGATCTCCTGGAACCCTTGGGGAGCAGCGTGGATTGTTAGGACCCCTTGTTCCTCTGACGCCCCCCCCCTCCCCCCACACGCCCAGCGTTAGGTCGGGCATGCTCTCCTACAGTTGGATTTTGGACGAAACATCAAAACAAGTCCCAAATACACCTAACATAATCAAAAGGAATAACAAACATCGTCCCCAGACTGTTTCTTGACGATTTTGAAATACTCGACAGGCCCGACATGAGCCCAGTGCAGCAGCGCGGCCTCGGACAGGCCGCGCAGGCGCAGGCCCGGCGACGCCCCCGCGCGCCGCGTCAGAGGAATGCCTCCAGCCTGCGCCGC